TGCCTTAGAATCAATAGAGAATGTATGAAAACTACTGACGTGCAGGACTACTCCCAGAGATTTGGATTCAAATGATCTGGAGCTCCCCAGGTTATTCCAATGCGCAGCCAAGGTTGAGAACCTGTGAAAGTAGAACTGAGGGAGAAAATATTACCAGCCAGTGGATAGGAGCTAATTACAACATTTGAATCCTGAGGATAGCTACAAAGGCAAAAGGGCTATATGCTGTATTACACACATCTCATTGTCTGACAAAGTATTTTTCCCCAGAGCTCTACTCTGAAAGTAATATATTATTATATGTATGTCCTAGTAATGTAATAATAGCTACCCTTTACTGCATGCTTACCACGTGGTAAGCATTACGCTAATTGCAGGAATTTCTCTCTTTTAATTCTCAAAACACACTTATAAGGTGAGTATGTTATTAATCTAATATTTCTGATGAGGAAACTGGGGCTTTGAGAAATGAAATAAATTGGCAGCTTTTGGACTTAGGGTGTGTAGCTACAGAATCCTGGTTCTTAACTACCTCACTATACTGTCCCTAAAATATACTGGGTAATACCTCCAATTAAAGTTTTGCGAAAGAGAGAATGGTATTCAAATGGAGATTCTTATAAAATATGGGCTGAAGTTATAATCTTAAATAATTTAATGCAAGCATTTTTGCAAGATGTTGAGATGCTGTTTTGCTTTTTGGTCATCTAACAACTTAGATTCTAACTTACTATGGAAAGAAACATTGGGACTTCTGGAAGAGTAGCTTTTTACGTTATCTACTGGATCCTCTCCAGTCTTCTCTGGGGAGGATCTGGGTTCTTCCACAAGGTGAAGGTACGAGCACTGGCAGAGCGGGAGCACGGGTGTGGGACAGCCAGACAGAATGAGACAAAGCTAACAAGCCTATGTCCTCCTACGAGTTAAGTCTGTTAGAATCAGGCCTAAGAGCAGGAAATGGAGGGTGGGGTAAAAGGGCAACAGGGGCAGGTGTGATGTCTCACCCCTGTAATCCCAGCACTGTGGGAGGCCGAGGTGGGAGGATCACTTGAGCTCAGGTGTTTGAGGCTGCAGTGAGCTACAATCACCACTGTACACTAGCCTGGGGACAGAGTGAGACCCTGTCTTGAAAAACAAAACAACAAACAAACAAAAGCCAATAGGGGCCTCTAGCTTGAGGAGTTAGGCTTGGACAATGTGAAGGATGTGGGTTGGACTAGACAAGAGGAAATTCCTGCACTGGAGAGAAGCATAGAGGGAGGAAGCTGTGTGGTTCTAGAGTCAAGGTCAAACACCTGGGTGTGCCTCTGGCTCGGGAGTGGGGTTGAGTGCAGATATTTAAAAAGCGAGAAAGGTAGGTTCTGAGTCATAGGAAACTCATGTTTATACTGTCTAACGAGGACCTGAAGTGGAAATACTTAATGTTGTTGAGTAAAGTGAGACTGTAGGCTTTATATAACAATCCTGAGTGATCATTCTTCTGTTAAAACATGATAGTTTGGGGATACCTGGAACAGCACCCTGACCTCAATCTCTTCTCATTCTGATCCACAATGCACAGGACCTTCAGAATAATCTGTCTTAAACATTTGAACATGTCAAGAACCATAGAAGGGATTCTACTGTCTACTTCAGCCTGAACTCCCAACTGGGCGCCAGTCTACCTTTCCAAGTTGGTCCCTCCACCTCTTCAACATCTTGTCACTTAGGTCATGTCTGCTCACTGTTCCATAGAAGATCATGCTTGGATTACCTCTTTGTTCCATATGCTTTAGACTTCCCAGTGGGATTGTAAGCTCTTTGAGGGAAAGGATTTATGTCTTTTAAAATTTATTTCTCTTCTCAGGACCTACTGCTAAGCATATGGTAAACAGTCAACGCCTGCAGCTTGACTCAGTCATAGTTTGCCTTGAACAGGACTCAGAACAGCACCAGCCACAATGAGAGATTTGTCAAGGATTTTTTGGATTAAGATAATAATCCTCTCAAAATCAGAGAGGATTCTGTGATTTTGTAATGACAACATTAATAATAAAGCCTCAAGATGACATGGTATAATGGAGTTCAAAAGGTCTGAGTTTGAATGCCAGCTCTGTCATTTATTAACTGTGTGACCCTGGGCAGAGCATTGTGAGCTGTGACGTGGCTCGTTTCTTGGGGCCGAGGAATGAACACAGAGACAAAGAGACACAGACACACATGAAGATGGTACAAGACTGCAGCAAATTTCTTGCTGTAGTTTCTTTATTTATAACACAGCCTGTTTGGCAACTGTCCCACCGCAATTTCTTTGTTCCCACACTGTCCCGACTCAACACATCCCTGTTCCTTGTAGTTTCATCTCCGGCGAGCAGATGTTTTCATCCTGAACTCTCTAGCCCTTACTGTTTTCAGATCAGGGCGCCCTGGACTCGCGTTCAAGCCCACAGACATATTCTGAGAAAAACAACAAGAAACCGTTCCCAGACAAAGTGTCCTCTACAGAGCTGCAGTTTCCTCATTGTAAAAGAAAGATGATCATGGTAGCCTCAGAGTGGTCGTGAGGATTAAGTTATATGCCAAAAGTAAATTGTCTCGTATGGTAAATGGCTGTAACAGGCATTCGATAAATGTTTATATTACAGAAAATTTAAAATATCTATTGCTTTTGATTTTATTGGCTTTCTACTCTTTCTCTTTTACCTGGACCAGAAAGATAATTTCAAATTTTCTTTAAACTTTTTGGAGATTAGATGTTTTCTGATAATGAAAAGTTGGTAGACATCATATTAACAAAGAAGATTTTTTTTTCTTTATTGGTAATTATCTGGATCATAAAAAAAAATAGTAAACAAGCCAAATTACTCTTAGCTTAGGCCTGGGAATGAGGAAAAAGGTGAAGAGAAGTTAGAGAGAGAGTCCTCAGTTACTGGCAGAAGAATGACCCACTAAGCCTTCGTTTAGCACTCATGTGAAGTCTTGGTGGTAAGGAAGTCCCACCTAAGGGATTTCTGCCTTGGTTAGACAGAGTGTCCCAGAGCTGAGTTACAAATCTCCATGGCAGAGCCCTAGTACTGGCTCTCTGACCAGCTGGAATTTGCTGCAAGATGGGTGTGGCTGAAAGGAGACCATTGTGAATTAACCAGGAATGAGAACATCAAGACTGAATTTTATTTCACCCAGAAACAGAATGATAAAATGGCATCTTCTCTATTTAAATTCTATTCCATCTTTCTTCTTGTCCTTCCACTCAAAGTTGCTGGCAGAGGTTGTTGGTGCTATTGTGCCAGGTGTGAAGATTCTGCCCTCTGGTCAAGAGACCTCACCCTTAGATGCTGGCTCTGCCTCTGCCTTTGGGGGTCGGCCCTTGTACTCGCAGGACCTTAGGCGCCTCTGTAAGTATAACAAAACTTGATTAATCCATTGTTAGCATTTAACTCCTTTAAAAAATAGAAGCAACCAGTTAACAAGGTGAGACATTTTCCTGATGTCATTTGTTCTTTATTTAAAAGTACAGACAATATTTAAAATGAAATAAAAACTCAGAGGCTCAAAAGCATCCAGTAAATTGAAGTAGCAGTGACACATGCATCCACAGATAAGTGTACCTGTTTAAAGCCATATCTCATTTGTCTAGGCAAAAGTATAGCACAGGTTATAAAATATATATCTTCCTTGCCCTATAAGGCAATGAAAGGCAATCTATTCTTCTGCAAAAGTCAATGGTCTTCAATGTCATGGCAAAAAGATGATGTGATCAGAAAATGAGGCTAGAGAAGAATATCCTCATAAAATTTCTGAACAAAGTTTGCATCACATCCCATAATATTCCCTTTTCAATTATAAAAAAAGTTTCTTTAGAAAGCCTGCTTCTATATTACTTCCTTTGAAAGCAGTAATCCTTATTCTGAAAACTAAGGATTATTCAATCTAGCCTTGGCAAAAAGTAAACAAAAAATTCCTATTTGAAAGCCTTGTTGCAAAGAGTGGCTAATGAGTGAACAGAAATTATTGATGTAAAAGAAACACTTTCACCCAGAAAGGGAATTATCAGAATAGTTTTGTCAAGTGGGAGTACCTATTTGACATAACCAGCCCATTCTGGAAACAGAAAGTCAATTAATTTACTTTCCCCTTTCCTCCCTTTGGCCAACTTGTCTTTCTTTCTTATTATCCCTTTTTGACATCTGGAACTTTTTATTATTATTTTTTTTTACTCAATTAATAAGTTCAGCATCCAGTTCCCTGACTTCCTTTATTTTCATATGCATTTAGGGACCAGGTACCACAGTTTATTTAGAATGTCAAGAATCTTTGTATGAAAATTGATGGCATACATTTTAAGGTACATATTTGTTATCAGAGAAGAAAATTGCCATAGGCCACAAGGCACATTAGTTTGTCCATTTTCTGTGCTAGTTTAGAAAACTCAGAACGGATTTAGAATTCTGACACACAATTTTAAGTAGTCCACAGAGATCGACAGTGTCCCCATTGGGAGTCCCACCACTTCTCTCTAGGATGTTCTGAAGCTTCATGGTTTTTGGTGTATTATATCAGGATTATTTGTTTTTGGACAATGGGGATGTTATGGCAGGGCTGACCGAGAATAGACCAAGAGACACACACAGAGATTTTGGCAATACAGGTTTTATGTGCTGGCCAGAAAGGCTCAGAGGGGAATTTGCTCTCCCCAAATTCTGAGCCCCAGACAAAGAGCATTGCAGTCTTTTATACACTTTGCTTAAGGAGGAGGGGCATGGCTACAACAGGGTTAACTTTAGTCAGGCAGGGTCCTAAGCTATTTTACAACCTGGTACACTACTTGCTAAAGGTGATTTATGAGGGGAAAGGTCGAAGGGCAGGAGAGGAGGAGGGGCACGGTCACAACAGGGTTAACTTTAGTAAGGCAGAGCCCTAAGCTACTTTTACAGCCTGGTACACTAATTGCTACAGGTGATTTATGAGGGCAAGGTCGCAGGTGAGGAGGGGGCCCAGGCAAGGATCGCAAGGAAAAAAAAAGCCCGGTAGTGGAATTTCTAAGAATTCCACTTTAGTGGAATTTTCCAATCTTACACTTCAGGGAGAGGGGATGATGAAATGTTAAAGGAATATCCATGGCTGCATAAATTAATAAAGAGCATCAGAGAGATTGAAATCATGGGATTCTTTCATTTTCATGTTTGGATTCACTTCATTAACTGGCTTCCAGGGGCGTCCAGGACATTTGGGGGAGGTTGTTTCTGGGAAATCTGATATCAGGGTAAATGAAAGACTATTTGGTTCTGTCTGGATGTCAGGAATCCAATCATCATCATTTTCTGTGGGAGTTGGTGATATATTAGGCATCATAGTTGCGATGAGATCCGAGTCCTGAAAGTCAGAATAGGTAACTGCTACATCCGGCCGGGCTAAGGAAGGGATGGGTGTTGGCCCTTCTGTCTTCTCTTGTGTCTGTGCAGAAGGTGTGGTACTATCTTCAGAAGAGCTTGCCAAATGCCCTGTTTTCCAACCATTGAGCTTTCCATTGTTTTTGCCTTTATTTTTATGTTTTCCCTGGCCGTGACCATGCTTATGTTTATGTTCATGGTCGAGGCCACGGCCTTCTTGGGGTCCAAGATCATAGTGAAATTCGAGTTGATGTCCATGCCCAAGGCCATGTTGCCATTGCTGTCCATGGCCAAGGCCATGTTGTTTTTGATGTTCTTGGCCAAGGCCATGTTGTTTTTGATGACCTTGGCCAAGGCCATGTTGTTTTTGATGTCCACGGCCAAGGCCAAGGCCCCTTTGGTGCCCATGGCCTTGGTCATGCTCATGTTTATGGCCATGGCCAAGGTCATGTTTCATTTGCTTTTCATGGCCCCAGCGATGCCCAGGAGTGGGTCCTTGTTCTTTTCTTGGATCCTGTTCTTCATCTTGTACAGGAACCATGGAAGTGTGGGGTGGACTTACAGTTGTTCTTTCTCTTATTTCCTCTACTTGTACTGATCGGAAAGGTGAGAAACCTGGAGGCCTTTTCATCAGTGACGTCTAAACAGGAAACATTAAGACAAATGTATTATTGCAAAAACCATACTATCAATGAAGAAAGAAGAGACTGAGATCTGGCAATGCTATCTTGGTTTACAATGGGGCAGGTCTTTGCAAGATTTTAAATACTATATTAGTGTTCCAGAGAGGATGAATAATATTTTTCCTCTTTTGATTGATCTTAAAATTTGTAAACATAGATTGTTGTTCTGAGCAATACTATAAAATAAGTTGGAGAGTTTTTTCTGCATCTGGAAAAATTGAGTGGTTGAACTACATAATCTCTAGGATATCTTCTAAGCCTATGATTATGTAAGTCCATAGCACATTTTTTAATTACTGATACTATTTCTATTACCACTATTACTGCTTTTATCCTAAAGGGCCCTAAGTGACTTTATGAGCTGAATATATAGGGGGCACATATCCATGATCACTTTGTTGGGCTGAAACACATTAGGACATATTCACAAGCTTGAAATGCAGCCTTTGTATAATGTCTGTGTTAGACTATATGCATACCTGCACATGACAAAAACCTAAGTCTGAAAAGAGGGAGAAGAGACAACTTGGACTGAAGATTGCATTCGGTAGTGAAAAGAACATGAGTTTTGAAGTCAAGCTAGACCCTACTAGTAATTAGCATCATGATGAAAAGGGTGGGCTCTGATTTGATTTAGATTTGAATCTGAGTGCCACTAGCTTCACTTTTCTCTTCTGTAAAATAGGAATTATAACAGCACCTACCTTATAAAGTTATAAGGAGGACCAATGGAAAATGTATGCGAAGCCCTCACTACAGTGCCTGGGACAGAGGAAGCACTTGATAATGTCATTATTCACTCTGGGACTTTCTTATTTATTTATTTATTTATTTTTGAGACAGAGTCTGGATCTGTTGCCCTGGCATCAGCCTCGCTCACAGCAACCTCAAACTCCTGGGCTCAAGCAATCCTTCTGCCTCAGCCTCCCCAGTAGCTGGGACTACAGGCATGCACCACCATGCCCGGCTAATTTTTTCTATATATATTTTTAGTTGTCCAGATAATTTCTTTCTATTTTTAGTAGAGACGGGGTCTTACTCTTGCTCAGGCTGGTCTCGAACTCCTGAACTCAAACAATCAGCCCGCCTCGGCCTCCCAGAGTGCTAGGATTACAGGCATGAGCCACCACGCCCGGCCGGACTTTCTTATTTTTAAGTGCCTCATCCTTGACAATGGGAAAAGTATTACTGCCTCCCAGGCTTCTTTTAAGTCTTGAAAAAGATGATGTCATCTAATGCTTCTTAAACTTCAACCCTGCATATGAATCCCGAGGATCTTGTTAAAATGCAGATTCTGATTCAGTAGATGTGGAGTGGAGTCTGCATCTCTCACAAGGTCGTTGGATGTAAGCGAGCGCAGTGGAGCTGTATCTTGCCGCAGGCACACCTTGCCTCGCCAGGGTTCGCTCCCCCACCATGGGGACTGCACTTCACCAAGAAAGAGCCTGTAGAAGCTTCCATGGGACACTGACAATGCATGAGAAGTGATCAAGAGGATTGTTGCTCTCCTTTTTAGCCATTAAAAAAGAGAGATCACACAAGGATCAGCACAATAAACACTCTCGAATGTGAAACCACTCAAAAGTTGAAGACCAAAAGCTAGATTCCACAATGGCTCAAGACAGAAAACAAAGCAACAAAATGCAACCCAACAGAATGAACAGTAATTCACCCCACTTATCGGTTCTCTCAATAAATGTGAATGGCTTGAACTCCCCTCTCAAGAGATATAGACTGGCCGAATGGATAAAAAAAAACAAGCCAAGCATCTGCTGTCTCCAGGAAACGCATCTAACCTACAAGGATGCATTTAGACTCAAAGTAAAGGGGTGGAAAACAATATTTCAAGCAAATGGAAGCCAAAAGAAGGCTGGTGTGACAGTGTTGATCTCAGACAACTTGGTTTTTAAATCAACAAAAGTAACGAAAGACAAAGGGGGTCACTATATAATGGTGAAGGGTACAGTTCAACAAGAAGACATAACAATTCTAAATATGTATGCACCCAACTTAGGTGCACCCAGATTCATAAA